GTCTGTCTGTCTGTCTCTCTCTCTCTCTCTCTCTCAAAAATAAATAAACATTAACAAATTAAAAAAAAGTCCCTTCCTTCTTGATGTTCTAAGATGCCTTCTTTTAGGGTAAGTCTGCTAGCAACATATTTTCCTAGTTTGTTGTTTTTTTTTTTTTGTTCCATCCCTCATGTCCAACTCCCTTTAATTCTTAAAGGCTGTATTTTGCTGGTTATAGGATTCTAGGTTGACAGTTTTTTCTTTCAGCATTTGGTAAAGGTACCACTTCATTCTGGCCCTTCATGGTTTCTGATGAGAAATCTGTCATCAGTTGAATTTTTTTTTTCCTTTAGGTAAGATTTTGTTTTCTTACTCGTTGCTTTCAATATTTTTCTTTTTCAGTTTTCACAAGTGTTCAAAAGTGTGATGTGTCTTGGTGAGGATTTCTTTGGTTTTATACTATTTTTTGTTTGCTCAGCTTTGGTTTCTTCTTTTCTCTTTTCAAAACTTCAGTGATAAAAAATGTTAGATTTTTTGTAATAGTCCAAGAGGTCCATAGATAACCTTATTTTTTTCAGTCTGTTTTTTTTTCTGTTATTCAGATTGAGCAATTTCTATTGTTCTGCTAGTTCATGGATTATTCTCATCTATCCCCCTCATTCCCCTGTTAAGTTCATCCATTGAGTTTTAGTTTTGGTTATTGTATTTTTCAGTTCTGAAATTTTTTGTTTGTTTCATATCTTCTATTTTTTTGCTAAAACTTTCAATTTCTTGACTAAGACTTTTCTGTGTTTTTATTTGTTTCAAGTACATTCATAATTGACTCATTGGAGTCATCTTGTTACTGCCAGATGGGTATGGAAGTCCATATTCTTCCCCTGGCCTCTGTTAACCCCAAGGTGGGGGTACTCTTCATTGCCATTGAAGGGATCAGAATCTGACTAACTCTGTGATCTCTATAGACACCATAATGTGGATGGCTTTGTTACCCCTCGATGGTAATGAAAGCCCTGACTCTTCACTAGGCCTCCTCTGACATTACCCCACTGAGAAAGGAAAGGGTTAAGTTATTTCTGGTTAGGGTAGAAGTCCAGGCTCCCTACATGGTCTATACTGACACCATGAAGATAGAGAGCTTCCTAGTTGGTTTTCTCCTATAACATCCCAGTGGGTAAGTTGGGGTGACTTGTTAAAGCCTAAAGAAGGTTGAAGTCTCTGTTCTCAATTTGACCTTTGTTGGTAGGAGTGGGACCACATGTTTTTATTATTGTTGTTTTCTGTGGTTTTTGGTTGAGAGATATTATTGTCTATAAAATTTTTATGTATTCCTGGGCCTCTGCTTTCCTGGTCCTTTAGCTAGAGAGAGAAGGCTTTTGTTGGTCTTTTTTTTTTTTTTTTTTT